TGACAATGATGAAATTAACACAAGTAATATTTTAAAATAACATCTGTCAGCAATTATATAACGTCCATAAAACAAATATACATGTATATTATGAATTTTGATACTTATTCAAATATTTCAATTGAATAGCAACACAAGCTTTAGTTATACAATTTATCATATCTGAAATAATATAATATTGATATCTATTTTAAAAAAATTTTAAATAGATCCGATAAACATTTAATCTTATGATTTTATACTGGCAATGAATATTTCAATAATTATTTAAATAATAATATTAGTATATTTGACACAATCTCATAAAGACTAAATCATCTTTTAGTAATTTATTTAAGTTATTTAATAAAAGTATTTTGAATTTTTTTCTATAATGTCTCATTTATTGTTTACAATTTTTGTTATTTAAAAAAATAATAATTATTAATTTATCTCATTCATTATAACATTATTGCCAACAGATATTTTGAGCATTTATAAATAAAAAAAATTAATTTTGATATCATTCTAATATATTCTAATTCACTATTTTAATCTGAAAATCATAATGTTAATATTTTCATATTTATTTGTCTTATAATTGTATTTTTTCACTCAATTTTTTTTAAAAAATGCAAAAAAAAAATATTGCTAATAAATGCCTTTTATTAAAAAAAATTGATCTTGCTAAAAATTAAAAAAAAATGAATGGAAAAAAACATTTTTTCCGAAATATTTCTTTTTCCAAAATATTTAAATTTTTTTTCAAATAATTTTCATGTGATTAAAAACAAAATGAGATATTTAGATGCTCTTTAACTAGCTAAGATACTTTATATAATATAATATAATAAATAATTTTCGCATAATATTCTTTCATCTTATACGAATAAAAATTATTACATATATTTAGTAATTAATAATTTTTATTAATTATCAATTTATTACTATTATAATAAATTTTATGTTATAATTTATTACATTTTGATAATTGAATATGAAATTTTCAAAATTATTACTAAAAAATAAAATAAATACAAAAAAATTGAAAGATATTTTTTACTAAATAAATATAATATTTTATCAAGAATTTTAAATTTTTTATTAATTGAAAAATATTTTATTTATCGACATTACAAAACGTCAAATATAATTTCTTAAATAAAAAAAAATATATATAAATTCTATTAAATATCTAATTCAAATATAAATCGATCGAAATTTTTTAAGTAATAAAATTATGTAAAAAAAAACAATCTTTAGTAAAACTATTGAATATATATATTTCTTATTATTATAATTCAATTATAAAGTTAATTTAAAGTAATTGTATTATTTTGAATTACAGCCACTTATTATCTATTGGGAGTTCTGTGTTTCGGAGTCGCTAGATCCAGGCCGATTGCAGCAAGCGTTCTATTTCCTCTAGATTTTACGGCTGCCGGTGGTCTTTCAACAATAGCTGGTTATGTGCGAATATTATATGGTCTTTATTTGGAAGGTGCAGTCACTATTGCTGCTGTTGCAGTTGCAGTCTTGGGTGTATCAACTACTCAAAGTTTAACCAATATTGGACTCAAATACGGTTTATTAATCGAAGCTTAGTTCTTAATAAATACTTTAAATATATAATAAACATAACTATATATGAAAAATAATTTTACTGAACCATTTTAAGGTATTTTATATGAAATGAATATTATGAATAAAAATACTTTATAAACACAATATTATAATTATATTCACTTAGAAATATACAATAAATAGAATATTTATTACAACAATACAACAATATTAAAATGTCAAAAAAAAAGATAATTAAGAATTCTAGAAATTATAAAATTTTTTAAGATATATATATATATATGTATATATATATAAGTATAATCATATATATATATATATATATATATATATATATATATATAGTATTATTACTTT